GAAGAGTAGCCAGTGCTCTTAATTGCTTATCCAACTCTTTATGCCCTTGCTTGCATTGCTTGATGCATTTTGTGTAACTATGAAAGTATCTGAAACTAACTGGTGATGGAGAATTGGTTAAACCAGTGGGTGTCCAGCACACCATAGTTTCTTTGTGGGTTTTGACCATATTCTCACTCTTTGAAAAACCTCTGTCTTTATCTGGGTTATACCAAAAAAATAATCACTTGTTTGTTTCTTTGAGACAGTTCTGTGTTCTTTACTTCACACTGGTCTTGAACTTAACGATTTTGCTGCCTTTGGTTCCTGGTTGCTAGGATTACAGGCAATTACTACCTGCTTTGGTTCAATAAATAATAGTATTTAGAAGACAGAATATTTACCGAGAGAGAGAGAGAGAGAGAGTTCAAACACCAAGTCTTTAGCTGCATCCTCACATTCAAACTAGTTTCTCCTGCTCAGTCATCCAAGTTCTGTCCTCAAGTAACAGATCTCCATTGTATGAAAATATTTTGATGGGCTGTTGAGAATCCCTATTCAGGTTCTTCTGCTTTCTAGCAAGCTTTTTGTCACCCATGACTCCTCCCCAGAGTACACGTGAATTTTTCATGGCATCTATAGAATAATTGTCAGTTAATGTTTTTTGGGAGACAGACTCTGCAGGAAGGTTGAGTCTACCTGGAACCTCAACCTTGACTCTTATCCCCTGTTCTCTAGAATACAAGGCTTGAGTAGTCCCTTCCCAAGATTTTCTCAGCTCTTCACACCACAGGATAAAAGAGTCACTTCCATACTTCCATTCTTCCCCCTTTGTGATGCTTACTACTCAGTTAAAAAATTACTTCCTTATTGATGTCAACAAGACTTTCTTAGGGCTGATGTTGACACCCTCATCAGACATACCATGCCATGATCCTGTCATGTACCAGGAGAATGAGCTCTGAGAATATTCAGTCTTCATCATGGCAATCACTTTCAACTTCCTACTATATGAAGGTTATAGGACCCAAACTGGCCACAGAGCCCCCATCCAGCAGCCAGCATCACAGATGCATCGTACATACATAGCTGTGTTGTTTTGTTTCAGACACAACAGTTTTTAGAGGACAGGGCAGTCTCCAGTTGTCTGGGTGAGAACAGACTCTGAGCTGGCCTTCTATTCCCTGCAGCTAGCAATTGTCCATATTCATAACACTTAGTGTTTACTATTTTCTTTGGAGACAAGCAATCTCAGTATTGTTTAATCGAGGTGTTTTAACAGTGATGAGACCTGAGGAAGCTGTCATGTATCTGCATACAGGAAATACTCTGATTGTAGTTTGATCATTAGACTCACTCAACAGGAATATTACGGGTTTTTAAAATCAGATATTAACTATGGAATGTAGTGGGTAGCCATTTCAGCTTTGATCTGGAAGTTCCAACCTCCACTGAGGCTTCGGTAACTGTCACGTCTACAAGGCAGGGCCAAAAGAGGACCCTGAAGACCCAAGATCCAGATGGGCCAGCTCTCTTTGTTCCTGGACCCAGGACGCTGAAGGTAGACTAAGCAGAGTTCTCTAGAGAACACCGCTGAACTGCATTACAGCTTTCCCAAACCCTGCAACCTATCCCTTCACTTGGAATTTACCCCACAAAATAAACCTCCCTTTTAACTACGTGGAGTGGCCTTAATAATTTCACCAATAATGGAACATTGTGAAAAGTGCTAATACCTGTTAATGGAAATATAAAGTTTTAGTTTCAACACAATGTCATGGTTAATTATCTGCAACTCAAACAACATTCACTGAGACTTAGGTAACATCTCTAAACAAAGACACATTTTATCATTGCTTATGAATAGAAACTAGTAGCCACTGTGCAACACAGTAGTTGAAATGCTATGAAGAATATAGTCATGCGTATCCACTGAGAGTTCTCTGGGTCTTATTTGGAATGACCAAAGGCCATGACAAAATGATGTCATCAAGACGCTTGGTCATACAAATTCTCTTTCTGGACTGGTACTTCAGAACATTAGCTGCAGTATCTCTATGACTCAGGGCAACAGCAGTATATCCTAGAGGAGTTCCAGTAACTGTACAGTATTGATAGTATAGTAGAAGTCAGAGGCCTTAAACCAGACCAACAACTCATTGCAATAAACATTTACAATTAAGTAGAATGGACAAAAGTGTATGCTGTGTGACACAGCACAGCTCCTAAGCCAGTAAGATGAATGAAGAGGTGTTGGAAAGGTTGGAAAAATGAAGGTGCAATGTGGTTTTTTGTTGATTTTGTTTTTAATTAATTTTTTAACTTTCTTATGGGGAGACACTATGTGAGTAAGGGGTGGACATGGTGGTACTTAGAAATGAATGATATTGGAGTGTATGATGTCAAGTTCCCAAAGAATAAATAAAAATGTTTAAAAAATTTAACTATAAATTAAGGGGTGATGACCAGCCATACAATTTGACATGATCATTTTTCATGAATATATACTATTTATCATATAGATAAACTGCTTGACTCATTCTTGGCTGAAAGATATTTAGTATTTAGGTTATTTCAAATGTTTTTTCTGTTTATATAAGCATACTACAAAAATACTACAGTGATATATGTATACATTGGATTCCTCCTTATATTAATATTTAGAAGTAGATTATTGAATATAATAAAATCTACATTTTACATTCTGTTAAAAAATAATCTACTTAGGATCCCAGATTCTACTGGGAATGCTGAAGAATTAAGCCTTGCTTTGCTGCCACATACTTGGTGAATTCACCAGAATTAGAATTAAGTCCATAGATATCATTGTCAAATGCCCAACCTACCCTTACTTCATAGTTCTCTATAAATAATTCCTTAGAAAATGGCTGCTTGACAGATTTGAGTTTTTTTTTTCTGCTCTTCATTTATTTTCCTGTCAATGGAGCACTGGGGTTCTACACATGAGCTATTACATCTGGCTTTTCAGTGGTTTCTAGCAATCTGCATGCAGATCCTCTTGTTTGTGCAGCAAGCAGTTTATCCACTGATCAGTCTCCCCTGACCCAGAATAGGATAACTAAGTATAGTAACACAGCAGGAATTTCTGTCTAAGAACCAGTATGTCATACCTACTTCATCTTGAATTTGCCAGGCTAGAACAACACTTTATTCTCATAAATTTTCATGGATATTACTATAGCCACACACAAAAAATCTTGAGTGCAACTCTGAGGACAGCACAGATACTTGATGAGATCATGAATCTGTTTCACTCACATTCAGCAAAAATGTCATTAAATACCCAGGCAACACTTTTCTATTTTTAACACTTTTACTAGGGACTCAAGTGATTTCCATCAATACCTACATTATATTAGTTGTAGTGCAGTTAATGCTATTCATTCAAACATCTCCCTCTCTTCTTTTTACAAAAAGTCTAACTGTATTATTTGTTTGATGTTGAATTTTCCAAATTCATTTTGCTATCTCATGGAATCCTTTTAGCCTTCTCTGGGCTGTGGCAATTCACTAGCAAGTCTACATACTTAAACATCTCCTCCAAATGCATGTTCCAACTGCTAGCCATCCTCCTCTGCCAGCCCTCTCCACTGATCATTCTCTAGATCTATTAATGTTGTTACCACTTCTACAATTTTACTTGATAATCCTCATCAGGAAACTATTTTTCTTATTCTATATTTTATTATCTTGAAATACTGTCTATCCCATGAAGGCAGGAGGAAGGAGAAGTCAATGATATTTCTTCCTGTATTTTACAGTCTCCAAAATAGAGAGAGTGATTCTATAGTGAAGTCTTTCTTCTTTATTCATTTACTTTTCCATGATCCTTATTGACTCTGTCATTGGGAATCTGGACTGATTTCGATGTCATTCTGAAAACAGCCTCCCCCTGAAGAGGTCTCCACCTCAGTACACTTTTCTCTAATGGCTTGGTCCTCAAATTAGACCAGTCATTAGTGGGCTCCTTCCAAAACTTCTGAGCCACCACTATCCTAATGCATCTTGTGAGCAGGACAAGGGGCAGGTTTTCTGGCTGGGTTGGTGTCCCAGTCCCAACACTGTGATCCTAGCCTGGTTAGAGAAAACAGTTGGTTCAGGATCCATATCTTCCATTACAAGAAATCCTTGCTAATCACCCCCATAGGTTCCAGTAATATTATACTGCATTGGTCCAATATTGGCTCCTAATGGCCACTTATTTTAGTCATCTCTTTCTATACTCTTCCCTGGGGATGTGTTTGACTCTCTGCTTGTGGTTGAGCAGGATAAATACCATGTAGCCACTGGCTCACACCATCAGTCACAAAAATATGGCATCAGTGGATACCAGTAGGACTGTAATTATAAGATGAATTGCTAAATGGTCTTATCACTCAAAAACCTAGAGCCAGATATTGGTGTGAATACTGAAAGATCAGAGAAGGAGAAAAAGCCACAGTCAACCTCACCTGGACAACTCCTCACCCAATCCTATTTCCATGAATCCTCATACTGAAAGCCTCTGAGTACTCACCTGCCTGTAAGGCATCACAGCTGAACTGCTGCTTAAAAGCCTCTAGTTCCTGGTCCCCAGCCTCAAGAGCATGAGTTCCTGTTTCCTCACACCTTATGTACCTTTCTGTGTCCTGCCATATTACTTCCCGAGATTAAAGTTGTGTGTCCTTCCCAAGCAAAGGCATGACATCTCAAGTGTTGGAATTAAAGGTGTGTGCCACCAAGCCTGGCTCTGTTCTCAGTGTGGCCTTGAATTCACAGATATCCAGACATATCTCTGCCTAGTGAATGCTAGGATTAAAGGCATGTGCTACCACTGCCTAACCTCTGTTTAATGTTGTGGATGTTCTGTTCTCTGACCCCCAGATAAGTTATCGGCATGCACAATATACCAACCACATTGCAATAAGTATACTGATTAGTCTTCCAGGATTCATAATAACTCAGTATCCAAAATCTTTTACCTTGGTAACATTTCTTTGACCCTATATGTCAGTTGTGTACACAGGAATGAAGACATATACCAACAGCTGGAGGGCCCAGCACAGGCCCAAGGAAGGGCCAATGATCCTGGGAACTCTGATCTTCAGCTGTGCCCACTTGGAATTAGTTGTGAAGGCTGATGGCGATGCCCTGAAAAACCCTTAGCAGGCATGTGGAACTCTGGGACATGCCCCTGGAAACTCTATGAAAATATAAGCCAAGGTAATATGAAACATAATCTAGATAATAACTCTGACTAACACCAGCAATTGTCTGTGAGATTCCTCTTCAGAGAACTATAACATTGACCCAGGTTAGGTGTTTGATAATCAGGTCTGTGGGCTTCACCCTGATTCCAGAGAAGTCAGCAATAATATAACAAGAAATTAAGGCTGGGTTACCCAACATTCTCAGCACAGTCTGGGACAGGAAGAAGATTCCAAAAACCATCGCTTTGGTGGGCATTCTGTGAAGGCCCTGGGTCACTGCACAACAAATCCAGAGGATATGTGTTGTAGAAGTTGGACTATGTTTTTCCTAGCTTGACTCTTATTATACTACATAGACACTGTTACCTGACACTCATAAGACATATTAAAATGTGTCTTCAAGTAAGAAATTTACTAGGTCTCAATGAATCCTTATTGTTTGAATTACAAATAAATAAATGGCACATTGTGATAAAAATTAAACTTTATACTGTCATTAATAAGCGTTAGCATTTTTCAGTGTTTTACCATTAATAGCTGTTTTAAAATCCATAAGTGCATTGGTGAGATGGTTTAATGATCAAGCCAGATTCAGATGAGCATACTGGATGCTGACACAGTACAGGTTTCCAGGGTCCCATCAACTAATAAAAGGCACAGACATATCAGAAAGGAGACTGTCTGGCTCCACAGACAATAGTAACCACTAAGGTGCTACTGACAACTGATAGCTAATAGGAAGAGTGAGTCAGAATCCTTTAAAAATGTGGCCACCGATAAGTCAACCATGCTCCAGAGGATGGTTGCACATCAAGAGCATATGGGCAACACAAACTGTGATGTATATGTTAAAAATTAAAGAGACACAAGGATGGGTTGGAAGAGAAAGATGGTGCATTGGTGAGGTGTGGGGGAAATATGAAAATGATCAAAATGCATGACACAAATTTCTCAAACATAAAAAGTGAGAATAAACAATAGAGAATAATAAAAACAATAAAATTGAGAATTAAAAATAGTAATAAAAGATGAGAAAAGAAACAATAAGCTATCATGGGAGAAAACATTTGAATTCTCCTTTGTCAGCACATTCAATTGAACTTGCGTTTACATATGTCATATTTTGTTTTATCTGTTTTCAACATAGCTTTAATTTTTTTAATTCGGTGTATATTCTTTAAAATATAACTCTATCACATGTACTCATGTCTAAATAAATGGGAGTAGCGAAAAATTATCAGTGTCTTTGCAACAGGATGCAATGAATGGAATTATTCAATAGGAAGATCATTGGTAAGATTCAACTTTTTTTTCTTCAACTTTTTGTAATGAAATTACACACAACATACACTACATAGGAATACTAAGTAACAGAATTATGTCTTCTGAATTTTGAGATGCAAAATGTACCTAGTATATCTATAAATGTTACTGATATTGACAGTTATTAGTAGATTGTTAGCCAGTGATGCAATTTGTAGCTAAAATGGCACAATTATAATAATTGATGTCTACTTAATTCAAAAGTAATTTCTGGACTCAGAATAGAGACACATCCATTTAATTCCAGTACTTAATAGGCAGAGGCCTGAGGATCCCTGTAAAATTGAGGCTTGCCTCATCTATATAACAAGCTCCAGGACAGAAAAAGTCCTAGGCCTGAGTGACATGAGGTTACATTCATTCAGTTAGTCAAATGCTCAAGGACTTGGAGTTTGGACATTGAAACACCAGGTTAGCACTTGTTCCTCTTTTCATAAATATGAATCCCTCTAAGAAGGATATTAACTTATTACTCTGCCACTCTACACAGGCATTTTCAATAAAGTAAATAATAATCCAGATCCACATAAAGCCCCAGTGGGAAAAAGCAGAATTTGAGGTGGAGATATGCGGAGAATAGCAAACACTTCTCAAATTGCTGTTATAACCCACTAAAGACTGAGAGAGTTTCACCAACCCACTTAATAGAGTCTGTTAACAGAGTCTCAAAAAATGGGGCAGTCTCTGTTCTTCCCTAACAGAAAACCAACTGTAATAATCTTATAAGGCACTTTGTTTCTTCCTTTTCTCATGTGGCCAACAGAAATCCACAAAGATACCCCCACAAAAGACTGCTGGCTATGGTCGAGAGACAGCTGGGACTGATCTACTCTGGTGATGGGATGGCCAAACACCCTAATAGTTGGGCCAGAAACCCCATCCAAGGACTGATGAATCTGGATGCAGACATTCACGGCTAGGCCCCGGGTGGAGTGCTGGGAGTCTAATTAGTGAGAAAGAGGAGGGTTTATATGAGCGAGAATTGTTGAAACCAAGGTTGGATAAA